ACCACAGATGAAAAAATTTTAGAAAAAAACTGAGAATGTTCTGCTCATGTTCAGATTTTTTTTTAACCATCATCCCTTAAACAATACAGTGTAACAGCGATTCACATCACCGTGGGTCTTATAAATGACCTAGAGATGATTTTAAATGCCTGGCAGGATATGCGTGTGTGATCTGCAAACAAATTCAGTGGTATTTTACAGAAGGGCTTTGAGTATCTATGGCTTATGATGTCTGTGGAAGGTTGGGGAACCTATCACCCTTAAATACTACAAGATGGCTGTACGCGTGTTTTGAGAATGGATATGTATTGGTGTACCTGCTTGGAGATACTTATATGTGTGTGAGTGTACACGTACATGTATATGTATATGTGCATTTACCTGTGTTATAAATATATATGTCTGTAAGTGTGAGAATGTATAAAGAACTAGAGGTGACAGAATTCGGGTGTTGCCATGGAGTCTTCCAGTCTCGAGTGAGGTCTTGATCAGTGTGTGTTTGCAGTGTTGTTTGCTAGCGGACTTCTCACTTAAGCCCCCAGTAACTTAGAAGACTGCAGAGCTGGGAGCCAAGTTGAAGTCCACTTTTGAAGTGTCGCACTTTGGGAAAGACTTTAGGATCATTCTCATCTTTGAGTTATCAATTGGCAGTTCCTATATTATATATCAGGTTGAAGAAAATTCTATACATTCGTGTAAATGGTAATGTGTCTTCTCACTGCTTAGGGTCTTTCCCAAAAACTCATGGAGGAGTTTGTCACAAGGGAGAAAGAGCAGAGTTTACTGGAGAATAATTAAGAAGAAGGGCATAATGTAAACAGGCAACAAATGACAAAGGATGAAGGGGCACCCGGAAGAGGCTCCAGAGGAGAAGGGCTTTAGTGCTAGGCCTGAAGGGAAAGGGAAGGGCACCATCTCCAGTCAGAGGGGGAGGGCGAGCTGCACCCAAAGGAGCAGTGCTTGCTGCTCTTGGTGGCCTTCAGCAAAGGAATGTGGCCACTCCTGGGCACATCTCCAAGCCAGGCAACTCCAGACCTGATTTCTTCCACTCTTCTCTTTCGAACTCTTGCACGTGCCTTGCACAGGCAGAGCTAATGCAAAGTAAAGAAACCTTTTGGCATACAGGCATGGGGAAGGGTAGAAAGGATGGGGAAGAGACCTGGAGGGGTACATGGAGATGGGGGCTTTCTGCAGCATGTTGGCTGATTGGAAATCAACTAGTTAGTCCTCCCTTAACAAAGCTGTAAACTCAGTGGGTAGGATAGTGCAAGGGTTAGAGCTCGACTTCTAATCAGACAACGCTTTAGAGGCGAAGATCAAATGGCAGTTCAGAAACAGCCTAGAAATGAAATCCTTACATGTAATACGGCTTTTACGTACTAGGAGGTTAAGGACCCCAAACCTAAGGATTTGTAATATCATTGTTGTTTCTTTCTGTGATAAGGTTCAGACAGGGAAATGCAGATCCTGACCCTAACGTTATTCAGTAACACAATATCCTTGTGGCATAAATTATCACCAGCAACAAAGAGACCCCATTTTATATAGTAGCAATGAAGAGAGGGATCCCCCACTCCTCCCTGCCCCGTGTGCCACATGAAGCATAGAGTCTTGTCTTCTCAAATGCTACCAAACAACTGGCAATGAAAAGGGATAAGGCGTAAACCTTGGTAGCGCAGAGTGCCTGCTAGTGAAACAGTGAAACCTAAGTTGCAGACTTAATGTATTTAGCAACTGAGTAAACACCACGTGGCTATGCGTGTTGTGTATATGTGTACACTTTTAAAGGTTAAAAACCAGGTTAGGGTTATAGAGCTCTGTGAAAGAGCTCTTGCCTAGCGTGCAGTAGGCCCTGGCTTTAGTACTTAGGGCTGCCAAAAACCAAGTTGAATAAGGAGGGAGGGTGGGGCTCACCCCCTCTCACAAATCTGATCCACCCCTTGTCTCAGCGAGTCTTTCCTATGATTTGAACTTGCAGTAGGGGTGTTCAGGGGAGAGTGGTAGGGCTCTCTTGGTCCTGGGACTGCCTTGGTACCAGGAAACCCCTATTCCCTGCAGGCAGACCACTCTTGGAGCCCAAGTCTTGGTCTTTGAGGGCAGACAAGAAATTTCCTCCTCGGTGAGTTCCCGAAAGAACATCCCCATTGTCTCAGTGTGTGGGTGCACCCCTCATGGCCCTGAGTTCCTTGCTCGTGCTCTCTCTCCTTCTGCTCCTGATTTGGACCTTGGGGTTGTAGTCTGGTGCTCAAATGTGGGACTCTGTCTCTGTCTCCTTTCATCGCCTGCTGGAGGTTAATATCCAGGAGGATGAATATATGTTTTTCTTTGGGTTCACCTTCTTATTTAGCTTATCTAGGATCATAAATTATAGACTCAGTGTCCTTTATTTATGGCAAAAAAAAAAAATATGAGTGAATACATCCCATGTTCCTCTTTTTGGGTCTGGCTTACCTCACTCAGGATAGTGTTTTCTATTTCTGTCCATTTGCATGCAAAATTCAAGAAGTCATTGTTTTTTACTGCTGAGTAGTACTCTAATACGTATATATTCCATACTTTCTTCATCCATTCTTCCATTGAAGGGCATCTAGGTTGTTTCCAGGTTCTGGCTATTACAAACAATGCTGCTATGCTGGACTGGGTCTGAAAAAGCATGGGATAAAACCGGACTCACTGAACATAGCGGACAATGAGGACTGCTGAGAAGTCAAGAACCATGGCACTGGGTTTTGATCCTACTGCAGTACTGGCTTTGTGGGAGCCTAGGCTGTTTGGATGTTCACCTTACTAGACCTGGAAGGAGGTAGGAGGTCCTTGGACTCCCCACAGGGCAGGGAACCAGTCTGCTCTTCGGGCTGATGAGAGAGGGGGAGTTGATTGGGGGAGGGGGAAGGATATGGGAGGCGGTGGCGGGGAAGAGACAGAAATCTTTAATAAATATATAAATTAAAAAAAACTTAAAAAAAGTTAAAAAAAAGAAAGAAAGTGTTCTAAAGTGTGTAATGCAAGTCATGAAGTTATGAGGATTGAAAGCTTAGGTGATTGAAAAAGGATCTGAGATGCTTTAAAGAATAAAACCTGTTCCATATTTCTCTCTTTCAAAAAAAAAAAGAAAGAAATTTCCTCCTCAATTTTGTGGCTCAATCTCAACTTGAAACTCCGTGTGGGGAGTGAAGAATTGATGTAAATTCCCAGCTGAAGGAAAGAAAGCGCAAAAAGAATGTTTTTTTTTTTGTTTGTTTGTTTGTTTTAATTTTTTGGAAAATGAGATTTTTGACATTCAAAAATAGCCAAAGAGAACACCTGATATGTAACTGCCAAGCACGCAGCTTAATGGTGGAGCATAGCACTTGTGAGGCCCTGGGCTTGGTTCCAGCATGGAAGGGAAGAACCTGAACCCAAACCAACCAACCAACCAACCAACCAAACCAACCAACCAACCAACCAACCAAACCAACCAACCAACCAACCAACCAAACCAACCAACCAACCAACCAACCAACCAACCAAACCAACCAACCAACCAACCAACCAAACCAACCAACCAACCAACCAACCAACCAAACAACTATAAGAGTTCAGGGTTCTGACTTGAATTTTCTCAAAATTAGAAAAAAAAAAAAAGATCATCCTACCAAGAAAGAAAAGTTAACTGACATTCTCAAAGGAATCAGTTCTTCAAAGTAAAGGATTTGTCTGAATGAGGGGCCAGCGTATGCTACAGTAAGAACCTTCCCTGGGAAAGCAGGAGGTTTCTCAGGATATTGGATTCCTCTGCAGAGCGAAACCTTCCAGAGGTGGAGTTTCTAAGTTCATCTAAAATGTAAGCAAGAGAGAAGGATCAAAGAAAGGGAACAACCACGTTTCTTACACATTTTTGATGGGTGTGACAATGAACTTCTAGTTCTGAAGTAAAATTGAAAGACGTGTGTTAAGGCCATAGCTGGTGGCACATACCTGCAATCCCAGTACTGAGGCAGGAGGATCATAAATTTGAGACCAGACTGGGCTGCATATCAAGATCCGCTCTCTGCCTGCCATCCATCCATCCATCCATCCATCCATAAATTACCTACAAAAGTCTTTCAAACTAAACCCAGAACACATTGCATTAGTAAGTGTGTTTATATACGTATCTTTAGAAAGAGACAATCATCTTTATTTTCTTTGGAAAGGGTGTTCTTTTGTTGTTGTTCTGAAGTATGTGAATCTGTGTGTCTGTGTGGGCTTGTGCTCTAGAGTGAAATGTCGGAAGGGGCCAGAGAGGTCCTCTGATGTCCTGGATTTACGGTGGTGCACACTTGTGAGGAGGCAGGAGGATAATGAATTCAAGGTCAGTCCGTCTTTAAAAAAAATGTTAAATGGATCAGGAAGCTGTGCACTGAACAGGCTGTTCCCATTTGCCTTTGTTTCCAGAAACTTGTGTTGCTGTTTGAAAAGGGTGCCTTTTAAGTGTGTGCTATAAACAGTGCCCCCGCAGGGAGAGCTGATAAACAATGCATCAGTCGCTACTGATGTATTACTTACTGTTTAATAAGGGTATGCAGCTGGTCTCTAAGGACCGAGGACACACAGTGACTGCCCAGAGGTCAAGGGTCAGTGAATTAACGCCTAGCTTTTGTTGGAGTACTAAAGGAAGATGATCTTCTTCTGCACAATCAGGGGCCTGACTAGAAAGAGATCATTCTGTACTCGGAACTATTTCAAAATCGCAGCTGCAGCTTCTCTTCCGGGACTTCTTCGCCAGTAACTGGAGTCAGCAGGTTGATGCCTTAAGCCTGGAAGACTATTCCTCCAGATTGTGGAAATGATACTTTAAAAAAAATTGTGATTTTCTTTTCATGCTCGAGAGGGTTTTTGTAAAAAAAAAATTAAATTGTGTTTATTTTGTTTTATTTTTCCTCTTCATTTTTACTAGTTCTTTGAGACCCTCTCATGATATTTTTTGATCATATTCAGCCCTCCCCCACCTCCTCCCTTCCCTATCCAACAAACGTGTGTGTCCTTAAAAACATAGTTATTTATTGGTGGTTTAAAGTGTAAGTCTTAATAATGCAAAAATTGAATGGGAGAAAGCATTTTGGATTAAATGCTAAAACACAGCTTCCTTTTGGCTCTCTTATGAATTAACTCATTTAGCTACTGAAGGTTGAAAAAGAGCCAAAAAAGACTTGGCTGGGCCTGCAGGAGAGGGAAGAAGGCTGGGAGCCAATGCTGTAGGCACAGATAGGTGGGAAGAAGCAGGAGGAGACAAGCCTAGCAGCAGGAGGTGCAAGGCTCCAGGTCTCCCTGTTCACTGTGTCTTTGCAGGGAGGAATCCTCATTAAACCAGTGAGCCAGTTTCCTTCCTGGCTTCAGGGGTCTCTTCGACTTCCATGGCCAGCAGAGCAATGGTCTATGGGAAGCAAGGAGGTAGTTCAGTTCAACATGACTAAGTAGCCGGTGTTGGTTTAAACCTGGCCCCAAATAGTTTATTTTAGGTGTATTTAAGTATAGCATAATTTGGTGAAAACTTATTCTGGTGAATAATTAACTCAATCTTATGTGCACAATAAAGCACACAGAAATCTCTTTGAGGAACAGTAAAGACTGGGTGTGATTACACTGAAATCCTTTTAAGTATGTGTGACACTTTCTATAAAGATTGACTGACTGAGAAAAACAACGGTCTGCGGGAGGGTCACACAGATAGCACAAAGGTCACCAGGCTAGAATGCGCGTCCATCTGTTCCTAGCCAGGCTAGAATGCACGTCCATCTGCTCCTACCCTTCTGGATGGATAATAGTTATAGCGTTCCTTCCCTTGAAAAATAATGATCACACTCCCGGTTCCCCTAAGTATTTGTGAGCGCAAAACCCTTCACGCCACAAAATTCCTATTTATTTCCTCTCTGTAGTTGGTGTAGTTGGTGTAGTTGGTGTAGTTGGTGTAGTTGGTGTAGTTGGTGGTGGTGGCTGTTGCCCCTTGGTTTCCTACTCCGTCAACTACTGACCTTCAAGTTTTCCCTGTACTGTTCTTCGATTTGCCAACTGAGGCTCCGTGAATAAGAAGTGATGGATGAGTAAAACAGGCAATATTAACATGCACGCTGTGTGCTCACGTAGGGTTATTTGGCGACTGGGAGAGGGTATTTAGAGTCTGAGCTCATACACAATCTCCGAGAAAATCATGGTCTTGTAGATAAATGAGAAAACAAAGGAAAAGCACCTTGGCCTTCCATGGTGGCTCAAGCTGCAGGAAGGAATCCTTTGTGGGTGAGCAAAGGAAGAGAAAGACCAGTTAGCCAGGTCTGCTGTGAATATTCTTCTGTCCTTTTTCTGGGTTGATGAAGCCTAGAGTTGTCCTCAGCCTTTGGAAGAACAAACCTAAACCAAAACTGAAATAAAAAAAAATAATTACTGATCTTCCTGACAGAGATGGTGAAGGGGGAGGTAAAAGAATTTTTCTTATGTTTGTTTTATAAAAATTTGCTTCATTCTACAGCAATCAGTAACTAAAACATGGCATGCTTTGGGCGGTGCTTTCTGCTGCTTCCTCTGAAAGGGAAAATTATGTAACATAAAGAGCAAACGGTAATAGACCTCGGACCTGCTGAGGACACTGGAGTCATTCATTCCAAGCCCTTGGGACCGGCATCGCAAGCAGCCAGTGCTCAGTGAACACAACCAAATTTCCTACTTAGGAAATCCTTTAAATTTCCCTAGTGGAAGGTGCGGGAGTGTGCGGGAGGGCGTGGGAGGGTGGGGGACGGTGAGGGAGGGTGAGGATTTGATCACTGACTCGAGGGTGAGGGAGGCCATAGGTATAACATTCTAATAAAAGCTGTTTATTAGAATACTCTTCCTTTTAGAAATTCCTGAAGATTGTTGAGCTTAGTGGCAAGAGCTAATTAGAAAAGATTCAGTAGAGGTTACCATCAGATGTCACTCATTGGTTGGTTTTGCAGGTAAAGATTCTTACCTCCAAACACGATTACCAGAGTGTGAGCTCCAGGATCCACACCGTGGAAGGAGAGAGCCAGCTCCTGTGAGTTGTCTTCTGACCTCCACACTCAAACCACGGCAGGTGAGCTACACATGCATATACACGAAATAAATACGCAAAATGTAATAAAAGGGAGAATCACATGCACGGGAAGGCTTGCTTCATGTAAAGGCGGTGGTGCTTAGCTTCTAGGTCTATAGAGCACCACGTTAAAAGGAAAAACACAATGTAAGCCTCGCTGAAGAGCTTTCCAAACTGGAACTGGAAGCCTATTACGTGGGCAGGACTGTGGATGGTTTTTAACTCCTACCTAGAAATACGAGCATTTATCACCTCCTTGACTACAGGTATCTGAATCATTAGAACTACTGAATCCAAAGGCCTACGATGCATCAAGAGTTTATTAGGCTCAGTCTTATGGACGCGTCCATTCTGCTTATGTGTTCTTTCCTCCCACCCGCCACCTTGTTCACCCTCTGCATTCAGTAGCTCGCATATATTCCCTCTTTTCCCACATCGTGTCAAGCATTCGTTCCATACTTTCTGAACCCTTGCCTCCAGGGCTTCGTACAGATGGAGTTTTCAATTTTGGGTTGATTGGCCCTGAGAGATAAAAAAAAAAATAAAAGCAATTATCCAGGCCTAGAGAAGAAAGGTGTACAACGAAAAGGAGTAGGCGGAGGGATGTCCGCAGGTGTCTTGACTTTTCCGAGAAAGCTCAGTTTAGCTTCACCTGAAGTTGTGGGAAGAACTTTGCTTCTCCTAGTAGAACGTGATTAGCACAGGGAGCCCAGAAGGAGAACTGGGGCTTCGCAGGGAGGATCCCGAGACAGAAAGGGTTAAGGCCAGAGGTCATGCTGAGAACTGTCATTATTTCTGCCATCAAAGCAAATGTTTACTAAAACTCCAAGCCACTTTTATCTGGACACCCCTGGACTTTGAAAATACACTGTTTACACAGAACGGATTGTTGAGAACCACAGAAGGCCTTTGTGACTAAGCTCCTGCACTTGTCCCCAACAGCTCAGATCAAATCTCAAAGCAGTTACACCGGCATCTCCGTGACTAAACTGAAACCAAGTTGTCTGGTCTCCCTGAAAGTTAGGAGAAAGGGAACAACCACGTTTCTTACACATTTTTGATGGGTGTGACAGTGAACTTCTAGTTCTGAAGTAAAATTGAAAGACGTGTGTTAAGGCCACAGCTGGTGGTACATACCTGCAATCCCAGTACTGAGGCAGGAGGATCATAAATTTGAGACCAGTCTGGGCTGCATATCAAGATCCTGTCTCTGCCATCTATCCATCCATCCATCCATCCATCCATCCATCCATCCATCCATCCAACCAACAAACCAACCTTAAATTACCTACAAGAGTCTCTCAAACTAAACCCAAAACACATTGTATTAGTAAGTGTGTTTATATACATATCTTTAGAAAGAGAAAATCATCTTTATTTTCTTTGGAAAGGGTGTTCTTTTGTTGTTGTTCTGAAGTATGTGAATCTGTGTGTGTCTGTGTGGGCTTGTGCTCTAGAGTGAAATGTCGGAAGGGGCCAGAGAGGTCCTCTGATGTTCTGGGTTTATGGTCGCTGTGAACTGCCCATGTAGCTGCTAGAAAGTGAACTCCTGTCCTGCTGTCTCCTTGTTTTGGTTTAAGCCAAGGTCTTATTATTCAGCCTGACTGGTGTCAGACTTGCAGTCTTTCTGCTGAGGCTACAGGCATGCCCAAGCCTGCCTGATTAGAAAACCATCCTTAGTGAGTGGGATTACTCTGGCGGCTCCAGATTAGGAGAGCCGATTGTTTTTTCATGAAGAGGGCCTCTTCCTTGTTGTGCGGAGTTCTGGAGAAAGAGAGAACAATTGCCCAATGAGAGCTGGGCCTTTCTAATAAGAAAGGAAAGGCATTTCTCTACAGCTGTTCCTTGGGCGGTAACTTGGGAAACCTGTTCCAGCAGTGTTCAACCTCTTTGTGGGTTGCATATTAAATATTGTGCACGTCAGCTATTTACACTGCAATGCATATAACAGTAGCAGCATTATGGTTATTAAATACCAATGAAATAATTTTATAGTTGGGGGGTCGCCACAGCTTGAAAAACTGCGGTAAACGGTCACAGCGTTAGGGAGGTTGAGAACCATCGTCAGGCTGAAGTGAAGTCTGTTGAAGGAAAAGGATAGCATGGCTTTCAAAGAGACCATACCAGGAGGACAGTGGGTTCTAGGCTCCACACAGGCAACCAAGGATTTGGGATGAGCTCAAATTCAGGGTGGTATTTATTCAAGGCAAGACCCTCTTGAGATGGCACAGGGTATCATGGAGTTCAAATCTTTGTATGAATCATGGCTAGGCAACAGATGCCGGGCAACTGAAATGGAAGAACTGAAGCCTTCGAGTATAATCTAGAGTAGGGGAAGGGCTGAGGGTGTCCTCACAGGTAGGAAGGCTTGGGGGTGGCCATGGTGCTCATTGAACTGGTGAAAATTTCTAATTCTCTTCACTTGATTCTCATAAGCCTCTGTGTTCTTGGATCACGAAGAGTTGCATCTTATGAAGCAGAGGAACCAGTGCCCGAGAGGAGACTCTGGACATGATGGACATCCAACGATTAGAAGAAATTAATAAAAAGGAAGGTGTCACCATGCTTCTCCTAAGAATAATAGTGGCTTTGAGTGTCTCCAAGGGATGAGTGGGATGGGATCAACTCAACACACAGTAGGGCAACATAGGATTTGCAGCTGCAGCGGAAGAGTTAAGTAAATCAGGGTCACAAGTTTGGCTGCATTTCCAACTTGGTCTGGCTGGCCATGTGATTGCGATGCATAATGCATCAGCTGGACAATGAGATCTATTCACTAATCCAAGCTAGCCCTGAGTTCCCTGCAAGAGAACTGGGACTCTTCTCACAGCGGCGCTGACTCTGAGGAGAAAGACAACCCTTTTAAATCAGTGTTTGCAAAGCCTGTGGGTGGACAGTTTTGTTTTCTGTTCTTTTTTTTTTTCTAAAAAATAAAACAAACTATCTTTTTTCATTTTACACACCAATCCCAGTTCCCACTCCCTCCCCTCCTCCAATTTTTTTCCACCTTCCCCTCCACTGCACCCCCATCCACTCCTCAGAGAGGGTAAGGCACATTGCTTTGGGGAAGGTCCAAGGCCCTCCCTACTATATCTAGGCTGAACAAGGTATTCATTCAAAGAGAATAGGTTCCCCAAAAGCCAGTACATGTAGTAGGGATAAATCCTGGTGCCACTGCCATTGGCCCTGTAATCTGCCCCAAACAATACAACTGTTACCTACATTTAGAGGTCTGGCTTGGTCCTATGCTGGTTCCTTCCCTGTCCGGCTGGAGTTGGTGAGCTCCCATTAGCTCAGGTAGACTGTTTCAGTGGGTGTCCCCATCATGGTCTTGACCTCTTTGCTCATATTCTCACTCCTCCCACTCTTCGACTGGACTTTGGGAGCTCAGCCCAGTGCTGCCTGTGGACAGTTTTAAGGAGAAATTCTTTACAGATTTCTACCACGGACCTCAATTACTTTTATGTAGTCTTTCTAAATAAATGATAGTCTTTCTCCCCCATGTGTTTATTGAAATTACTGTATTTTGTGTTTACAGTTTCTCAAAGGTAGAAAACCTTAGCCACTATTTCCTCAGCTAGTTTTCTGCTCCTCTCTCGGCTAATCCAATAATCCATGCTATTAGATTGGGTGGACTTCTTGGAAAACTTATTGACTCTGATTTCTTTTTCACTTCTCCACCCCACCCCCATTCAGGGCTCACGTCTCTACACATCCGCATACCTGGCATTTCTGCTGCTTTCTGTGATTTTTTTGTATTTTAATTTTTTTTTCTCCAACAGAGAGTAGAACTCTTCCTGATAGTCTATGTTAGGTAGAAACAGCCAGTTTTGAGAGTTACAAAACCTCTCAAAAGTTGACAAGAGACTCTCTCTCCCAGAATCCTTAGTTTATCTCTGGTTTGAGTTCATTGATCCTAGTGATCACGTGTTCACCATTAATCTGTTACTTTTGCAAGGTTTGGTTTGTGAGTTTTCAGGGGAACTTGAGCTAGATAAAGGTGGAATTAGCTTCTCTCCAAGTCAGCTTCTCAACCTCGGCAGTAGTAGCGTTGAGGGTTGAATATGTTTTTTGATGTATTGGGTTTTGTGATCATTGTATAATATTTAACATCATCTTTGCTCCCTACTCAGAGGTTGCTAGAATTACCTCTATCCCAATTACGATAGTTGATATTGCAGGATGCCCTGGCGTGGGACAAAATAGTTCTTGGGTAAAGAGCAGCTATCCTAAGTTGGCTCCATGAGGAGGTGGAAATACCTAATAGAGAAATACAAAAATAAAAAAAAAGAGAGACAATAATTATAACTGTCCTCTGTAATCTTCACTTATAATATTTTGTAGTGAGGGGGATGGGCAAACAAATTATTTAGACGTGTAGTTTGGATATGATATAATCCTTAGGCACTAGGATAAATACACTATAGACAGCCAGCAGAATCCAGTTAGGTCCATGTGCGACAACACAATGCAGACTTAAAACCCGGCAACGCGCGGCACAGAACACACTATTGTGCGTATTATCATTACAATCATCGGTTCATATTTCATTTATCCTGCTTCCATTCATTCACTTATTTGAGGTCTTACTATGTAGCCGAGGCTGGCCTTGAACCTTCCATCCTCGTTTCTCTGCTTCCTAAGTGTTTGTGTTGCAAGCATGTTTCACCACGCCGCAGGATTTTGAAGACAAGCGGAGAGTGGTGGCACATAACTCTTGCCCTAGCACCTGATCCTCTGATACAGGTGAATCTCTATGAATCCAAGGCTAGCCTGGTCTACATAGTGAGTTCTACATCAGGGGTACACAGTATGACTCTCTCTCCAAAAGGAATTTTAAGAAAAGATCTGTTTGTTTCTTATGTATCTGATGTATGTGAGTGTTTTGTCTGCACGTCTTCACACGAGAAAAGAGCATCAGGCCCTGTGGGACTGCAGGTATAGACCGTTGTGAGCTTCCATAGGGTTGCTGGGAACTGAACTTAGTATTTTTGGAACAGCAGCTAGTGCTCTTAACTTCTGAGCCTTCTCCAAAAAAAAAAAAAAAAAAAAAAAAAAGATTTTTAAGTTGAGTATTACATAAGATCTGCAACTGAGCCCTGTTTGTTTTTTTTTGTGGTATGATGAGATTAAATGAGAGTGGAAAGACCACAGGATAAATCTGAGGAAAAATAAAAGACTATTTTGGGGACCTCTGTTATTTTGTGGTGTGTCACACTGTGCTGAACAGAATTAGGGCTGTTCTTCCAAGTACTGTACAGGGACTGACAAGAACACTGTTGGAAGATTAGCTGAGGTCCATTTCAGATGAGCTCCCCAGAAGCAAGCTGGCCTCTTTCTAACGTCAGGCTCACTGGGGATAAATAAAGAGTTAAAGCACAGTCATTGGAGCTTTCTCAATTCAATGAAGATAGCATTATGGTCCATCTGTTGCTTCCCTTATAAGCATGCATCTTCTAAACAAAAGGGCTAGAGGCAGAATCCTGAGTTTACAAAAGCACTTTTCAATTAATTACCTTCTTCAGTGCAAAAAATCCTTTGTGACTAAGTTGTGATTCTCACCTTCCCTCTACTGTGACTAAACACCTGACTTGAACTACTTAAAGGAGAAAGAATTTATTTGGGCTTGTGGTTTCGGAAGTTTCTGTCTGCAGCTGGCTGGCTCCTCTGCTCCCGGGTCTGTAACAAGGTGGAAGATAGAAGTGGAGGCTGCTACTCACCCCATTTGATGAGAAGGGGGTGAGGGTAGGGAGGGAAGAAAGTGTAGTTTACCAGGGCACTTCTCCAAGAATCTAATCCCTTCAGTTTGATCCTACTCCCCTCCCCAAATAAATGTTACTCCAAATACTGAATCAAATAACGAATCTATCGGTGGATGCATAAGTTGCTATGCTCAGCACTCTAATTATTCACTTTCTTCTCCCAAATCCATGGCTGAATCTTGCTATAAGCCAAGCTGTCAACACAAGGGGACTTTTTTTTTTTTTTTTTTCCGAGACAGGGTTTCGCTGTGGTTTTGGAGCCTGTCCTGGAACTAGCTCTTGTAGACCAGGCTGGTCTCGAACTCACAGAGATCTGCCTGCCTCTGCCTCCTTTGCTAAAATTTGCTAAAATTTGGAGTGCTGGGATTAAAGGCATGCGCCACCACCGCCCGGCCTCACAAGGTGACTTTTCACATCAAAAGTGATAGTGTTAGTATTAGTTCCCCTTCGGGATTGTGGAAACGGAATCTCAACGCTTTAAACAACTTTGTCAAGGCCATATGGGTAACTGGAATCCTTTCATTCCGACTCTCATTCCCACCCCCTGCTTTAATCTGCTTCTTTAGGCAGATAGCTCACGGAACAGTTGAGGGAGGTATTAGCTGCTTGCCCACTTGCTCTGGGTCTCTAGAAGTTCCTGTAGCACACTACACTACCACATGACCCTTGTTCTCACCTTGCCATGGGGTGGTAGCGTGCCCTCTCCCTAGACAGTCCTCATTTGGGCGGAGTTTATTTTGGACAGCTTATTTCTAGAATTGTGTGTGCAACTTACACAAATAACACGCTTCTAACTCTCTCGGGTCACCTAAATCCTGCCTTAGAAGAAGGATCGTTGCTTCGTTATAGCCTGTAGGGTTCTGAAGTGCAAGGAAAAGGCTTTGATACTTGAGGGCAGTCATTGAACCAAAAGCACTGGAGTTACCCAGATGTTGAAATAGGAGCGGCGGGGCTGCGTCCCCAACACCCCGGCCGCTTGGCTAGCTCATGCCCGAAATAACAACACACAAACTGTATTCATTTAAGAACTGCTTGGCCCATGAACTCTAGCCCTTACAGGCCAATTCTCGCATCTGGACTAGCCTATTTCTAATGGTGTGTGTAAGCACCCCAAGGTGCGCTTACCGGGAAGATTCTAGCCTAAGTCCATCGTGGGTTGCAGCTGCCTGGGAGAGCTGAGCATGGCGTCTCTGCTCCAGCAGAGCTGTTGGGTCTCTCCGGGAGCAGAGCAGAGTCTGACCTCACTTCCTCTTCCGCCCAGAATTCTATTCTGTTTACTCCTCCCATCTATGTTCTAAGCTGAGGCCAAGCAGTTGGTTTATTATAACTTAACCAATGAAATCAACAGATTGATATATGACACTCCCACATCACTTCCCCTTTTTTTGTTTAAACAAAAAAAAAAAAAAAGAAGGCTTTAACTTAACATCCAAAGCTCTAGAAATGACAGAGACATCTCGCTGCCTGGACAGTCACCCAAAGTTCCTCTGTACCGTTGGGGCATCCATCTTTGGCCTACAGGCCCATAGTTTCCAGCAGACATTTCCACAAAGCAGGAAATTTCAAAGGCAGTCACTATCTGCTTGTCCTGAAGAATGTCTTGCAGACTCTTTCATGAATCAGGAACCCCAAAAGATCATCTCACCTTTAGGCAAGTTTAGCAGTCCTCTCTCTGCGGGTTCTCTGTGTCCAGTTTATGCAATAGTCCAGGCAAGAGCAGTTTCTTGCCCAAATGGCTATCAAACTCCATAAGGATCCTCTTCGATGCCCATCTTCCTCTTGAAGTAGATGGGTGTCTCATTGTCATGAAAAGTCCTAAGTTATTAAAACATTTAAAATGCCATATTCTATAATCTTTGAAAAATATGAAGAATGCCTATCTAAAATATATCTATGCACATCTAGAAAATCTTAACTAACATGACTACAAACTTAATTATTATTAATGATAATTCATTAACAATCTATATACATTACAAAATTAACCTTAAATTTAAATCACTAAAGCAAAATCAATGTAAATTATTCATACCTATATCATCTCCCCCTTTAAATGTAAAAGAACATTTATAAACAATATTTGGGAATATGGGCGCAGATTTTTCTCTCCAAACTGCTTCCTGCTGAATGGGGGCGTCGTTAATTAGGTCTTTCAGATATATGACACTCCCACATCACCCAGACATAGTTAGCAATGAAGGATTTCTGACCACACATTAAACTTTCTTGAAAAGAACCTGTATTTTAACAAGATCTCCGAATGAATCATATACACAGGAAAGTGTAAGAAACAATGTATTAGAGCCAAGCATCTTCTTTGTCTCCTCGAAGTCCTCTTTAGTGTTTTCTTAACTCAACTGCAGCTGACCCGGGCAATTCCGATAATTCCTACAGGCTGTGCCTAACCACGTCAGCAATGTTATGACTGTTGCTTGGGCAGTTAAGGCTGATGTCCACAGACAAGGTCCACTTCAAACTATTTACAATATGAAGTCATAAAAAGGGGCTTATCTGTTAGATTACGCTTCCAGGAACATGGCTGCACTGACAGGTACAAGCCGGCTCACAGTATCACACAGGGACACGATCTCTAGTGCCAGATGCATTGCACGTGTGCTCGTCCACACGGAATAAATCATGGTGTCTCAACATTTGATACGTGGAGGATTTTCACAGGCAACACACGTTAACCTGTGGCATCTCAGGAATGCAGACAGTTGTGTTATTAGACTGATAATAAGGCTAGGTCCCCAATTAGGCTTCCAGATTCGTGGTGCACGAACTTTAAGTGAAGGAAACATGATTTCCCTGGGTCACAGTTTTTGTAAATGAGGGGATTAGGCATAAGGACTCTTAGTATAAGCACACTGAATCAGAGAAACACATATCACCAGACAGGGTTGGCCCAATCACCTTTGTGATAGCTGCAAAATAAGGCTGCGATCATGTGGGCACACTGGATATCAGTTTATGAAGCTTTCCTAATTTAGTCACGACAATGATAAATACGAAGCAGCAAGGACCTGGAAAGGACTTTGAGCGACTGTTGACAATCCTCTTTGAGGAGAAGCTAGGTGATAGCCACTGACTAGGCCACGGTGATTGAAAATGGCTGCTGTGAGCTTGACTCATGAGCTCAAAGTTCAGAAGCCTCTGGGACACATTTACAGAAACAGAAAACAACATTAAATCTACTTCCAATTCTGGAGGGAGGTATCCTCCCAAGGCAAAGCCAGCTTTATCAGTTTGGCTTCTTTGTTTGCTAAAGGCTGAGTAACTACAGCTTGTGCAATTAGCTAAAGCCTTCTATGAAAGCATCTTAACACATCCCTTGGTCAAAAAGTTAATTCTAAGATATCTTTATAATATAGAGAATAATAACTAGACATGCAAATATTAGCTAGTAAATATTAACATTTTGCAGTTTTAAAAGTTTTTTCTTAAAAAAAGGTTTTTTTCTTTGTAGAAATTTGTTATAGCCACAGTTAAAGTCATACCCATGCCTACACATTCCTCAAAATTATGATTTTCTAGGTGTGTGTGTGTGTATGTGAACACTGCTAAGTCCCCTCAAGCAGTTTTCAGTGAGCTTCTCTACCCTTCTCCGTGACTATGTTTTCTGTGAAGCTCTGGAATTTCCTTGACTGTGTAATCATGGACTCTAAGTGTGGAGGAACAATACCAAAGCAAGCACATGCAATAATGTAAGACCAAGGCAAATGCACGTCGTGTAAAGACTAGTATGCCTTTGTCTCAAATAAGGCAATAACTGATGGAAAGGAAGGGCAAAGGATACCATTTTCAGGTTCTTGATATTCTGATGCTAAACTAAGCATTGTAATGCATTTGGAAATTCACTGTATTTCCCCAAAGAAGATAGTAGCCCAGCTGCTCAAAGAAATGACCAGCTCATTCACGTATCTTGCATTTGCCTTCGTCCATTTGTTCCTTCCTTCCTGCCTGCCTTCCTCCCCTCTTAAGTCTTCTTCCTTTCCTGTCTTAAGTCTTTTTGCTCTGTTTCCCAGAATCCTTTGCTAAATAAACCATCAAGTCCCTATCTCACAACTGACTCTGATTCACATAATTTGGGAATAAATTATCAGGAGCTTTATTGCATAGTTGAAAAACGTGGTCTAATTTTTGTTGTTGAGATTGGTTTTGTGTTTTTAACATATGATTTGTGTTTGCAAAATATTTTGCATTTGAAAAGGAGTGTTCTCTAATTGCCGAGTGTGGACTGATACATATGTCACTTAGATCAAGTTTGTTAACTCTGTGGTTGAAAATTTCTAATTATTAGGGTTTTGCCTTTTTGATAAATTCATGAAAGAGATGTATGATTTTAGACTTATCATTGTTTATTTCTAAGCTTGTCAGTTTTGATTTCTGTAGTCTGAGGCTATATTGGTAAGTGCATATCGTTTAAGAAGTAGAATGTCTTTTATTTCAAATAATACATTTGCCTCAATGCCCATTTTATCTTCTAATAGAGGTTATTCACTTATGGTTTCTGTTAGTGTTTTCCTGGTTAAACATTTGTCATTATTCCCTTAAAAATTTTCCAGCATAGTGATGATTTTTTATTTATCTCATGATCAACACATAGTCACATTTTTGCTTGCTTTATCCAATTTTCAGACTTCTTTGTGTTTAACGGAGAAGTTTGGTGTTCAGATTGCCTACCATTTTATGGTATTTCTAACTTACATATTTCATATGTGTTTTTCTTATTAGCTTACATATAAGTAAAGTCTTGTTGAAACACAAGTAGAGCTCACTTAGTGTACAGCGGTGTTCATCATATCATGATAGAGTGTAGAATTGTAACAGAGAACATGTGGCCAATAAAGACAGAAACTTGCTATTTACCTTTTACAGAAAAAGCTGTCAATCTGTTTTAATGAATTCAAGTATTCTTTGTCTTTCTCCTGTTAGTCAGAGATTATAATTTTGTTTCTATAATAGTTAACCTTACATTAAAAATCATTCTGAGTCAAATATCTTTACTTTTAAAAGAGAGAATAAATTTGCTACATTTATTTACTTATTTGCATGCAAGTGAATGGTTTGTGTCGTGTGTGCGCACGTCGCTACGTACATGTGTGTGTATGTGTACGTGTGTGTGTATGTATATATCTTTGTGTGTGTGCGCGTGTGTGCACAGACATGTGCATGCACACCCATGCTCACTTATGCACTCACTCAATCACATGCCCTGCACCTGGCCTGGGCAGCACAGCAGAGCTGACCCTGTTGACAGGGGTGTGGGTGAACTCCTGAGTGTGGGAGATCTGGCCCTGCCCCTCATCTGTCTTGTGGTTGTGTGGATGGGGGAGAGATGTTTCCCCCACTCCTCACTGCCTGTGGCTGGGGGAGAGCTGGCCCTGGAGCCATAAGAGCAGGAGAGCTGTCTCTGCCCCTCACCAGCTGCAGCACTTAGGTGAGTGGCCCATGTACTCTCCTGGGCAAGGCGGTGGAGTTGGCCCTGATGGTCCACGGTGGGAGAGCCTACCCTGAGGACACGAAAGCAGGAGAACTGACCCCGTCCCTTCATTCCTTGCTCATTGCTTCAAGGGGATAATTAGCCAGGGCAAGGCTGGAGAGCTCACCCAGTGGTGAGGACAGGGGAGAGCTGGCGGGCTGTCCAACCCTGCAGCTACCCAGGCCCAGAACCAGGGTTTTGAGTTGGCCCACCCCAACATCCACTTCATCTGTGATCTGCAGGAGCATGGCATCGGGGGAAGAATTAGAGAATGAAAAAAGGTGGACTGCTTTTCTAATAAACCTCGGGGTCAAAGATGGCTTGAAGACTCTTTCCAAGCCCAAACTCGTAGTCAGTAAAAGTGATGTGGACCAGCCTCATCTGTGCTATGCTGTTATCCTTCCATTCTTATGACATTTTGAGTTACTGTGAGATATGATGCCTAGTGTTTAAATGCTTTCCTCCACATTATTAATACATTTATGAGATTCATTTTCTGTACATTAAATCATCTTGGTTTGCATTACTTAGCCTCCAGCACACACAACCCTGGGACAGGGTTGCATTGCTAACCATAGCTAACTTAGCTCTCCATTGACTGCTTGCTGTTAGATTACTGATCCTTAGTGTTTTGTTTTTTTTTTTGTTTTTTGTTTTTTGTTTTTCGAGACAGGGTTTCTCTGTGGCTTTGGAGCCTGTCCTGGAACTAGCTCTGTAGGCCAGGCTGGTCTCGAACTCACAGAGATCCACCTGCCTCTGCCTCCCGAATGCTGGGATTAAAGGCGTGCGCCACCATCGCCCGGCTGATCCTTAGTTTTTGCTTGAGAAGTTACACAGATAATATTTTTTTCCTTAAGTTAAATACTGCTACAAGATACAGCTTTAAAAATGAGTGTGAAGATTAAATTATCTTTTAAGTAACTAGCAAACAGCATATTTCACTGACTTGTCCTAGAGATTCCAAAGTGCAGAATTTGAGCATAACTTCCTGTTTTTCAGAGGCATGTGATGGTAGTCTGCAAACATGAGCAAATCTGAGAATGCTCTATTATTTATTTTTTGCTCAACCACAAACCCACAGCCTAGTGGATGCTAATATTTTCTGGGAGTGACAGCAGACTTTGGAAAAGATAACAGTTATAAAGAGTTCACAGTGATCCACAGTGCAGAAGCCTAGCTTTTTGCAACAGAAAGGACTAGGGTGAAGAGCTTATGTTGGTAATAACTTAGCCCCGGAATGGCAGGGCTGACTTTAATTCTGCTTCTAACATCTGACAGGGTATGGGTAATCTAACCTCTTGC